TTGGCTTCAATGATAAATGCCACTGCTATAAAAATTAATAATTTGTTTTGGTGTGAGGGGAAGGGCATGCAGCTAACTTGCATAGTAAAAATAAATAAAAGGCAATTTTTTTTCCTTGCAAGGTAATATTTAGCTCCTCTAATGGCCATAAAAAGTAAAAGAATTTTTTTTTTTTTTTTTTTTTAATTCTGCACAATTTTCACAATACATACACACATAAAGCAATAATGTGATTTTTATTGCCTTAACTATATCAAGTATTAAAACAGAATCATTAAATGTAAACATGGTTCAAAAAGTCTCAAAATACAAATTACATTATGGTTCAATCAAATGACTTAAGTTGTTGTTCTATACTGCAAAATTAAGTAAAATAATATTTTGTATTTGCAAAATTTTACTTCGTTCTTTACTTACTTAAAATACAAATTATTACTAAAAATTGAAAAAGAAGTCCAGTATAATTAGTTTTTAATCTACATACCAATATAGTTAGTTGTTAACTACATGTATAATTATGAATAACAAAGTCTCTTATAACAGGAAAAAAATTGTAAAGGATTTACTTGAATAATATTAAGTGTAAAAAAAAAACACTTTGTTCAACAAGTGTCTTTAAAAAACTTAGATATGACTATCAGAATTATAGAAACATAAAAAAAAAAAAAAATTAAGTTCTAAAGCTGTCTTTTCATGAAGATAAAAAACAGTTCCATTTGAAGAATTAATCGTCAGGAATCTTGAGTGCTTCAGAGGTGCAAGAAATCAACTATGAAGATACACCTTGCTTCATAGCAAAATGGTCAACTTTTTGACTCAGCAAGAACTGGGCATACATTATATATACATACATGCATGTATGTATATATGCACACACATCAATACACAGCATGTCTTTAACAGATGATTTCAGCAACAGTTCTCACATACAGCAGCTCTTCATTTTCATCTATAGATTACTTCCCAGCAATTACTAAGAATAAAGAAATGACATTAATATTGTATCAAAATAATGACTGACTTGAAGCCATGCAAAGCAGAATCCATTCTTTTCATGCCCATTTCTAATGGCACTTCAAGTTGTAGATCAATTTTCATGCTGGTTAGTTTGCAAATCATTCATGCTTTTATGTAAAATATTTTAACAGGACGTGCAAATAATTTGGATATTTGTTTGTTTTCAACAAACTGTAGATTATCACAAAAGTCCCCTCAACAATATATGGAAGAAATTAACACCAATTTTTAATTGATTTTCAGTAATGTCAAAATATGAAAATGGCCCGGTTATGATAAAGCTAAAAAACAATTTTTTTTAAACTGATGAGCTTCTTTCATGAATAAAAAATTTCCAAAGTGCTAAAACTCAAAGTTATATTTAAAAATAAACAAATAAATGGCTTAATAAGTATCTAAAATCCTCACGATTCTTGAGAAAAATTACTTTTCATGAAAAATCTACAAACAAATAACTATTTAATAAAGCATAAAATTCTAATGACTTCATATGCAATGGTTATAAATAATTTTTAATAGATTTTCAGTTTGAAAACATGCAATTAAATGCTAATAAAACCTATTTTCATAAAATTAATAAAAAAACATACCTGATTCTATAATATTATATTATACTATTTTCATTTCTACTTTTCATAACCTTTTTTAGAGTACACACTATAGATAAACGAAAGTCAGAAAACCTAAATTTATGAAAACCCATTATATGCTAAATAAGTAATAAAATTTATCCATTTATTATCAAAAGCACTTCACAATAGTATTTTACTAAGGATACTGGCACATATTAACATAAAACGTTTGTTGTAAAAGAATTTATATTAAGAGCCATAATTTCTTAAACCTGATTTTTTTCCCCCATCATAAAGATTTCTCAATAAAGAAATGAAAATATATATTTAACTTGCATAATTACTGACAGAGCTAACTACGTCATATAACTAAAACCCACTCCCTCACCATATCTCTTCTTTCCACATCAACATGCAACTATTTCTGCTTAAATATTTCTTTAACAATTTTTGTAGGCACAAAGCTTTCATATAAGACTTATTAAATAAGTATACTTTCAGAGTATATAATTTTGGTTACATGTCATCATTCAATACAAACACACACAAACAACAACAACCAAAAAAAGTTTTTAAGCAAATTTTTCCTACCGGAGGGAAAAAACATACAAAAACTTTACTTCATTTTCAATACAGAGGGGCACCTTCTGCTTCCACACTCCTCTCAGATGTCGAGAATTTAGAGACATCAGTAGGTGTTACATACATATCAGTAAGTATCATACAAATACTGCTAACAGTTAAAAAAAGCTGTAATGTTTCACATTTTAACCTTATTTCCAACACCAAAAATATGCTTTTCTAATACTGCAGCAGTTATTTAAATTCAACAAGTTACTATAAAAACAATATGACTTTGGATTTCATATTAAATGAAGATTAAACCCACATGCTTAAAACTGGTAGTTTATGCACTTCTTTTACAACTTTCATGACAGCCTGTCAACTACAACAGTTAGAAATTAAACAGTGCTTAACTATTTAAACATATAGATTTAATCTTCATTACTCATTCCCCATCTTTATCACACATTCAACCCTATTCTTTTTAATTTATTCAAACCAAGGACAAATCAACATAAGAGCAGATTACATCCCAAGAAACGCAAAATGTGAATAATCATACTTTACTCCAAAGGATATATACACACACATCTATATATCTATCTATATATATGATGTATCTATATATATGATGTATGCTGAAGGTACATGATGAAGCAACAGACTTAGATGTAATAATATTGTACACTGTAATTAAGAAAACTCAGATGTAATAACGGAGAAGAAGCACTGCACATATAAGCACACACAAAATTACATATTCATAAACAGCATTACTCACTTTAAAAGTTAAAAAATATTTATTTCTCTAACATCTTGCACATGCATAAAAACTCGTAGTATAAAGTGCAATCTCTGGCTGAACAAAATATAGATAAACAGAAGCAGAAAATAATTAGAACATGACTTGGAATTGCAGAAAGGATTTGTGAGAGATAATACAGAAACTTCATGAATTTTCAATTGACCAAATAAAAAATTTGTCAATTCCCACAATTCTTAACCCCTTCGCGCCAACTGTCACGTACACGTGCCGGCAACGAACACACTTATCTACCGGCGAGCATTGTTGCGTTTTCTACCGAATGTCATATATTTGTGCCACTACCTTGGAATGTTTTTCAAACTATAATTTCTGCCACAAGACGGCACTGTATGTCCATATGGTTTCAGATACATGTAGATTACACCTTCTACTCGAAATGAGAGAAGCATGACCCACATACATGTGTTTTTGATTATTTAAACAAACGGGGGACTAAATGTTTCCGAATGGCGTGATTTATGACGTCTCTTTAAATCGCACGTGGTAGTTGTTTATTGTAAGTAGAAGTCTTATATGCACTAAAGCGTTGAGTATTTCGGTTTACAGGTAAGTTTCTAGAAAATAATTAGATCTTGTTAGACGTGAATTCTTTCTGTTTTTACCATTTCAATGTCGAAGCGTCGAAAATGTTTAACAGAGCATGAAATAGCAGAAATGATGCAAAATATTTCAGATATTGATTCTGAAAGATTAACTGAAAGACATTTTCCAAAACTTTGTTCAGAAGAGACTGATAAGAAAATGAGACGACGATGCTTCGTTTGTTCACATTCCCGGAAAAATCCTCCAAAACGGCAAATGAGTTATTACGAGTTCGAGGAATTTAACGTAGGGACTGTGTGTAGATCCCGTGTTTCAAATTTTTCATACGAAAAGAGAAATTTTAAGTAATATATTTAGTTTTCAGATGTATAATGTTAAAAGTCATAAAATGGTGAGTAATTAAAATAAAATGTGTAAAATATGCATTTAAACAAGAAATAAGGTAATTAAAGTATATATATATAAATATTTATAAAGCATAAGCCGTTTAAATACTCTATAGAGCATTATTAAACAATGCGTTGATACTTCGGAGATTTCATGGATTTAGGCTTAGTAGCAAAAAAAGCCCCCGGCCCTGGAGAGACGCTCGCGGAAGACACTGCCGGCCTCCGCGATAAGCGCGCGTTTTCGCTACCCGGCTCAAAGGGGTTAAACCAAATATACATTTTAAGCATTCAAAATTCTTACTATAAGAACATACATATTTTTTTAATCCTTTGCAATTTGAATTTAGCTAAAAAATTTGCTATCAGCATAACTTTTCCTCTAAACTTACCAATCCTACCCCAAATAAACTTACAGAAAATGTTTCATATTACTTTATGTGGTAAAACATGAAAGACTATTTTTACATCAAATAGATTTTACATTTAGGTTACTTTAGCCTTCATATGAGGACAAGAATATTAACTTCTTAACATTTGTAGCTTTTTAATATTTAAAATAACATAGCAATTATTAGAACTTCACAATTACATAGGTGTTATTATATGCAAAGTTTAAAATTTTGTAAACTAAATATCTTAAGAATCAAATTTTCTCAACATAAATGGATTAATGATCCTTCTGATATATCATTGGCAGATTTAGAAATACCGAGAACTTCTGCAGCCTTCAGCAAAATAGCATTTATGCATCACTCCCCATGCAATTTATAAGTCTAAAAATTAAAAAAAAAAATTATATCAAAAAGCTCATAATAAACCATAATACATATTTACATTATATTACAGCACCAAGGTCATAAGCTTAAGGCCCTAATCAGAATACTCTACTTAACTTATCCGAACATTTATCTGAAGACAAGTTTCTGCACTCTGCAACTGTTATAAAATTAAGACGCAGGTATTTTATTACACTTCTAATATTGTATTTTCCATGCAATTAAATGTAAATCATGCAATTCATGAAACAAAACATTATCTCAAACTTAACATGCAGTTTGATAAAGGTTAAAATTTAAAAAAAAAACTTACAACAAATCGATTAACTTTTGGCTTTGGTTTTTCAACAGGTTTTAAAGTTTCTTCTTTAATGGCTTCAAATTTTGCTCTTAAGGTTTTTGTAGTATCCACTTGCGGAAGGAAATCCTCTTCTTCATCCTCCTCATTCCTCTTACTTTCTCTCAATTCAGTGTCCCAATTTTCAAATTTTGCTCTCAGGCTCTTAGCTTTATCAGCTTCAACAATAATATCATCATCTACTTTATAACTGGAACGGACAATATTAGGATCTCTTTCAGGTTCTGGTGATGAATCATGACTGTCATCAACTTTTGTATATTCTCGAGGAGGTGTAATTCGCTTCAGTGGTTTTGGACCAGCAGGAACAGATGGAGTCTCTTTTTCTAGAGCCTTAAACTTATCTAACATTCTTCGGGCAGTATCAGTTGCAGGAATATCATCAACTGTATCAACTGCACGAACTACATTAGGATCATGAGGAATTTCTCTGTCAGGAGTATCTTCCTTGGCAGGCTCCCTAGGTGGGGTGATTTGGAACCTCTTCCTTTCTTTAGGCGATTCTGAGTAATTCTCAAAAAATTTAAATCTTTGTGTTACATCTGTAGTATCGACAACAATTTCCTCTTTTTCAGTTGGTTCACTACATTTAACAACATCATGTGCATCTCTAGTGGGTGAATGAAAAAATGTTTGGCGTTCACTTAGAGGAGATTTACTTGGAGATTTTGATAAAATCGTAGTTGTTTTAACAGTAGCATCAATCTGTTTAAACAGTTTTTTGGCATCATTAGCTATACCTGTGAAAGGAAAGATCAGTTTTATAAACAGAAAGCATCATATAAGCACACTTATTAATTTCAAATTAACTGGAAATCCTACTCTAAAATAATTAAAAATTTACCTGGTTCAGTGAAAACACTCAAATCTTCTTCCTTCTCTTTTCGAACCTTCTCTAAATTTTCTTCTTCAACTTCACTTACAAGCTCACCCTTTTCAAATCTTTCTTTTATTTGCGTAGCCTTGATTTCACGTGGAAGATCAGCAGGTTCAGGCCTTGTTACAGTTGCTTTGGAGGTATCTTGGCAAGCCTTCTCATATACAGCTTTCATTGATTCTGATCTACCAAGGCAAATACGCTGTCGTAATTTGTTTAACTCTTCTTTCTTTTCTTCAATCCTCTCTTCTTTTGTTGCAGTAACAGAACCTGTTTCCCATTGAGATTTTAAATTTGACATTCCACTGAAAACTACCTAAAAAAAGATGAATAAACTGTAGAAGTTAAAAAAAAATTCAAAGAGCTAAATAATTTAAAAAATCTATAGAGTTATTTGAATTAAGGTCACCCACATATATACTGAATTTCATTCACTTTCTTAAGACTTAACTTGCAATGTAAGATGTGGACTGTTTTATTATGACAAATCATGTGATGGCATCTGCTTAAGGGAAGGGATACCTTTATGGAGAAATTTCTACAAGAAACTGGCTTGGAAGTACATTACACATGGGAAAAAACATGCAAATACGCATGCAGCCAGCCTGTTAATTGTGATTTGAACTGGGGTCAAACTACCAGAATTCAGCAACTTAGCCACTTACAAGGTCTAAATGCGAGTTTTGTATTCTTAAAAAAAAAAAAAAAAAAAAGAGGGTTTGATCTGGTTTATTTCATTATAGCAAAGCATTTGAGGAGATATCTGCTTAAGAAGTGGGAAGCCTTCATGTAGGCCTTTCGGCTTGTATGCACATTACATGTGGGGAAAACAACCCCCCCCACGCAGCCAGCCCCCTTCACCAGGATTCGAACCTTGTACTGAATCACCAGTGTTCGGCAACTTTATGGCTCAGCCGGAGGGCAGAAAAGAAAAAAGCAATGAAAAGAAAATATGTCAATTCTATTACCTTTTCTTTGTGCTTGCTAGGTTTGATTATTGTTGGATCTTCACTGCATTCGTCGTCATTGTCAGACTCTGATATTTCTCCATTTTCATTATCTCCGCCAGAGACAGCAGACTGATACCTTTAAATATATATTGTTTAATACACATCAGGTCAGCATAATTTAAGCTTCACTTCCTAAGAAATACTATAAAAAATTATATGTCTTTTAAAAAAGAAATCATGGAAGCACTTATAAAACTATAATTATTAGAATAAGTAAAATGCTTATACCGTTAAATTTGAAATAACTATATAAAAATATATGAAACAATCTCTCCCTAGATGAAGGATATCTTTGTGGATAAAAATACAAGCTCAATTAGAAAAGAATTTCAAACTTTAAATGTTTTTCTATTTGTTTCTGTATTCTTTTTTCACATCGTTTTATCTTCATACAAAGACGTAAAATTATATAAGGAAAGGAAATACTGCAATTATGAAAAATTTTGGGCAGCAAATTTCAATGGAAATAGCCATTCTGACCGTTCCCCAATCAATTTGGATGATTTTTTTTTTTTTTTTTTTTTTTGCATGAAATCTGTAGGTACGGAGAGAATAAAGGACTTTTTTTCCCAAAAGCGTATTCTAAAATGGATTTTTTTTGTGGCGTTTGTGCATATTTACATTTATTTGTGTGCATCTTGCATAACTAAAAAAATGATTAGACATAGAACACTGAAAATTTGTATATGAGACTGTTGTAACATTTAGTCATGCACCTCCTTTCTTTATTGCAATTGGCAGTATTGCATACATATTTGAAATAAAACTAGTTGTAATAACTTGGTGTGATAGTTGGATGCATAAACCAGAACCTTGTAGAAGGGGTCGAATTTAAATATTTCCTTTTTATTCATGGTTGGATGCATTTTTATTTAATCCGACAGAAATCAAATCGACGCTACAGTACCTTGTTCTTAAGGAACGATTTACATCCGATAAACTTGAAAAATATACTTTTCAAAGGCAGCAGCATGTTGCTGTAGTAAAGCGCATGACCGGAAAGAGAGGCAAACAAAAAGAGCAAGCACAGAGAAGAGAGCGAGACCGCACAGCAAAGAATTATATTTCAGATTACATTACAAGAATGTTTACATTAAGCAAATTAAATTTCAGATACATAACATTAATATTTGGATACTTGATTAAGATCACATTCCAGGAATAATTGCACAACAGAGATCAGATGATAGATCACTTTTCAGAATTACAAGAAATAAATATTACATTAGAAAAGTTATTGCTTTGCAACTTTTAGAATGAAGGGAGCACACTCAAATTTCGCTTTTTAAATTTATTATTAGAAAGGTAGATATTTTATATATTCCCCGTTTAAGTAGAAAAAGGTTTGGCGAGAGAAAAGTCTAAGAGATAAAGCACTAAAGTATTAGCAAATGAGGAGCAATAACTTGAAAAATACAAATAACAAAATTTTGTATAAAATAATTGTTTAAATAATTTTAAAAATGTAAACTTTTATAATATTTTAAAATCCTATGAAAATTTTCAGTCCACAAATTTGTGTTTTAGATTCAACACACTCATATTTTTTCAGGGAAGGGTTTTCAAAGCTTTACACACAATATTACAACTATAAAAATTTTATACATCTATTACTTATTTTGAATAATTGCAACAAATTTCAAAATCTCATAACATAACTAATTTTCATTATTTTAACATCATACATTTTATTACTGAAATTATAGTTTTTACTTAACTTTCCTATCTTACACCAAACTGGAAGACCCCACAGCTCTCTCCAAATATAAAAATATCCATTTGTTAGGAAAATTCACTTAAACTGACTGATGCATTAATTCATCAGTGGTTAATAGTGGCTCTGGCAGTTACTTATGAAGGCCTCTGTTCCTTACATAAGGTAACTGCCCTTTGTGAACCGTACTAATCATTTTGTTACAAAATAATAAAACTATAATCCATTATATAAAAATAATAATTCTGTATGAAAACTTAAAGGTGGGAGCCTTCAAATTTATGTACTGCATAAGGTGGGTAAAAGGAACAAATAACAGAGGTAAAAACAGGGCTACTGTTTTGAACCATCATTCCCTTAATATATTCTATTCTTAAGAGATAATCATCCATAAATTTTCAAAATTCATTTATCATAATTTGAAATTACTTGGCTGTATTAATTTTATTTACTTTTTACATTCACTTCATTTTCAAAAGAATTATAAAACTTATAGCATTAACCCATTAGCCGTTGATGTTGTGTTGACGCAATGGTCAAAATAAATGCGTATATAAATATAACTACGTAAGATATATTTGTACCAGCAGATGATTTTTTGTATGGAATTATGAAGATTATTTCTGTAAAAAAATATTTGCCTTCTACAATCAATTTGTTTATAATAATTAATCTCACACTTTAAGCAAAATTTAAGCAAAATTTTCGACCGGGTATTTTTGCCGAAAATATTTAACGAAAGAATCGCCGTCTTTATGAGTGATCTATTTTTAGTCGAGGTCACCGTTTATCAGAATATTACATCAATCAGATGTTTATATTTGTGCGGGAAGGAAGGAAAAGCAGGTGTTGCGCTTACGCAACGTCAGCAGGAAACGGGTAAGCTCCTTTTTTACTCTTTCCTTTCGATGTTCTGGTTCATATTCTGGCTGCTTTAAAAATGCCTATAACGAAGTATCTTACATTAGGAGAAGCCCTTCAAAGATAATTTTAATGAAGAAACAGATGATGATAATGTTAATAATGATCGGAATGAAACTGATATAGTTATTCCCCCAGAAATTTTAGAAGCTACTGATGAAGAAGAAGAGAATGACAATTTTTTAAATAATGAAAATGATATTGCTAGGAAGTTAAAATTCACGTAAGAAGTAAGTTTCAGCCTTATAAAAGCAGTGGTAGTCATAAGAAAAAGTTTAAAAAGCAGAAAACTGAAAACTTGAAATGGATAAGAAAGGAACCCTCAGTTATGTCTCAGGAAGAAAATGAAGAAAGAGATAGAAGAGAAGCTATAAAAGACAAAATACAAGGTAACTGGAGAGATGTTCGATTTCCTTTTTTTGTATAGCCATTTACTCTCTTCTTGTTGAACAGACAAATTTATACGCTGTCAGCAAAAAAATCTCCCAGAATTTATTGCATCTGAAACCTATATGGGAAGATTTATTGGAATATTATATATACGGGAATATTATTCTTTACCTCAAGAAGAAATGTATTCTTGATTAGGACTTGATAAGAACATTTCTGTTCCTACTGTACGAGAATCGATATCACGTTTGTAGTACAGGAATACGAAGCAGAATTTGCATTTAGCTGACAAAAGTCAAATTGACAATAGTGATAAATTATATAAGGTGAGACCGTATCTAAACTTACTAAATATCACGACTTTCTACTACTGGAAATAAAAAGTGTCTTTTAGATTTCAGACGCGAGATTGCATTATTCCTTTTGCAAACTCCTATTGAGCATGTAGAATTAGGCAGAAATAGATCAGCAACAGTAAGCACCTAGTAAATTCAGCATTCAAAACCATTGCATGGAGATGGTAGACATTTTATCGTAAAGTCCGATGATAACAAAAGACTTCGTTGTAAAGAGTGCCATAGCCAGACTGTTAATAGATGCAAAGCATGTAATGTTGCTTTACATCTAGATTGTAGTGAAGCTTTTCATTCTTGAATCTTTCAATTGAAAGAATCTGTCTTTGTAAAAGAAATATAATGTATATTTTAATATTAAATTAATTAAAAGTAAAGTGATTTATAGATTTATAAAACGCTATACAGCTAAAAAGTAATCCAGGGCTCCACTCAAAGGAAACATCACATGAGTACAATCCTACTCACTCAACATTTGTAGTCTTATTCCGCTCACGTTGTGAGAATGCGACACTCGCTTTTCCTACAGGTAAGAGCATCTTTTTTTCCTTTCAATGTAAATTTATGTTATAAATGCTTAATTTAATATTTGTTATTATTTTCATGAGAAAAGAATCATTCCTTGTAGTTTTGACAGTTAATGGGTTAATTCGAACACTTTTAAAGTAACTCAAAAATATAATTAATGACACTATAATTTAATAATCTTCCCTGAAAAACATTAAAATTCTTTATTTTATTAATTCAAAAATACTTATTTAAATAGATATTTCTCCTAGCAAAAATTTTTAATCGTACACTTTTATAAAACACAGAAAAAACAGATTATGTGTTTAAATTTAGAAATAACATTCATTATTTTCATAATTATTAAAATTTAAACATACTATTTTACATGCATTAATTCATTTAAAAAAATTTTTATCTTCATCATAACAATACTCATCATTCTAAACATTACGCATGTTCTATATTATACTCAATAATTTTTACATTCATTTTCTATACTAATTTTAAAATTATTTAATTCATTTTTTTACATTTACCTCAATCTTGAAATAATTCTAGAAATATAACTATTAATAAATTTTAATTTACTAACCTTCATTAAAATTTTTAAAATATTAAAATTCTATTAGACCAAATTATTAAAATTGAAATTTTTAATATCGTAAAATTTTAGCGATATCGCTTAAGAAACAGTGCTATATTTTTTTAATTCAAATAATAAGAAATACAGCATATCTAAAATTTTGAATATAATAAAAAATTAGAAATTTCTGTACAATTATAATGTACTAATTTGATAACAATTATAATGTAGTCATAAAAACATGTACAATTATAATGTATTCATAAAAACATGTACAATTATAATGTATTCATAAAAACATGTACAATTATAATGTATTCATAAAAACACTTGTCTGAAAGTTTAGAATCAACAGCACTATGAGTTTTGCTCCGCTGAAAATGAACCTAATTCTAAGATAATTTTCAGTTTTCAACAAAATATGCTATTAAGAAAGCAGAAGTTCTCTGTAGTAAAGATTTTCCTAATTTTCATCCCTAAGAAAATTGCACCATTATGTTCCATGCATATGATATTAAATTAACACTACCTAGCAGTTAACAAAAGTGCTGCAAGTGCTATTTTTAATAATCTATACCTTTCTGCCACCGATATAAAATTAACAAGCTTGCTTATTGGAAAAATGTTAAGAAATTAGCAATTAAAGCTGTAACTCTGCATTAGACATTCTTTTTACATTAATTAGACATTCTTTTCACATGCTAACCACAAAAACTCAAAATTAATTTAAGGACAGCAAAATATACATCGTAAAGTAAGGATTTATCCAAAGCGAAAAACTAAACAGAAATCTGCATTTAATATAACGCTAAAACATTTCAGTAAAGGCAGAAAATGCCAAATAAATTCAATAATAAAATAAGTTTGCTTCATTGATCAAAATATATTGATATAGTGCAGTTGTTGAACAATTTTATTTGTGTATACAAATAAAAATTTGCAGTTAAAATTTTACCATGATGATTTTTCTGAAAAATGAAATTTCATTTGTTTACATACAAACATACGTGATGGCACATAAAATTGAGCATCGCTAAATGTGATTATATTTGTCCACTACTATTCTGATAATATTAAATGACAAGAAAAGTAATTTTCTTAAAAATATCTAGGGAGTTGCGCCAACAAATAGTTACATTTTCTTCAAACAACCGTCAGCCTATGTTTTAGCTTTCACATAAGCCTGCTTTACAACAGCTGTTTCTTTGTGCTAAGTTTCCAGTGTTCATTTAAAAATGCAGCAAAGAGATGTCAGAGAAGTTAAGATGCCGGTAAGTTGTTTCAGTTTTAAAACTTCTACATATTTGTTAAAAAAATTTTTTTTACAGTATCATACTACAAAAAACTAACATAATTTGGTTTGATTTATTTGATTATGGCAAAGCAATCAAGGGCTATCTGCATCTGGGCAGAGGGACCCCTTCATGGAAGACTTCCTAAGGAAAACTGGCCTGGAATCCATTACAGTATTTACAAACTCACATGGAAAAAAATAACATCATGTAAGAGTGATAATGTTCTTACATGCACTTTTAACAAGCTAAATTAACAAATGAAACTTTACACATAGGAATAGAAAATATGGAAGATATTCTTTGAATCTATATTTATTCATCAAGTAATATAAAACATATGAATGATGAGTGTATGCAAGAGAAGCAGGTAAAACATTTAGCCTTTCGAAATTTATATATATTATATATATAAACACATTTTCTCTTTTTTTCCAAAATTCTATTAGACTGTATATCATCCGAACAGCAGAATATAATCTGCACTGATAAGAAAAGAGATAATTCTGCTTGTATATTAAAGTTCTCCTGCCTGCTTTACATGTCTCTTAACCTGTACGAAGATAGCTTTAAGACATACATGAGAAAATAGCACTAAAAGCCTCATTTTTCGAGCATAAAATTCTCGTTTTCCCATCACCTTGAAACAAATTGCTAACATGAAAATATACTTCAAACAAATACTTTAAAATTTGACAAAATTTGACTCAAAATTAAAAGACCCTGTACAAGTTATCTCAACCATCAAAATTACACATTTTAAGTTTCAGAATCTTTCAATACGACTTCACACTTAATAGCAGCTTCATTTAATAAAAAATGGGGGGGGGGGAATACTTATTTTTAGTTGAATGCTGCAGACTTATTACAGCATAATTAAATATAACAATTTTGACCCCCAAAAAATTAAGATTTTTCTAATCAGTTCAAATTTTTTGTTGAACAATTCACAGATAAAACCTGAATGTACACTGTTCACATCTAGTGCACAACACAGGCATTTCAGTAACAAAACTATAGTTATATATATACATAATAATCATGAGCTATATACATTACACTTGAAATCAAACTAAGGTTCACATTATTAACGTAAAAATACAATATTGTTCTAAAAATACAAAACATTTATAAACAAATATTTAAATAAAGCATGCCAAAAAAAAATTCAGTTTGTGAATACATGTTTAACTGTCAGGTTTAACTGGTGCTCTAAAACCAGTCCATACCAAATATCCCTATGAAGTACCTTCAATATTAAAGGGCATTTAAAGGGATTCTGATATCAACAATTAATGAAAAATATCAAAATTTAATAATGAATATTTATATTACAGTTAATTAAGATTAATGAAAACAGTTTTAAATAGATAAAATCTTTTCTAAACAGCACATAGAAACTATTATTTCATACGAAATGCACATAAAAAATTTACTAAAACTTATTATTTTTGTTGTCAGTGCATCTCTTAAATACGCACAAACACAAATACAAATACATATAAGCATTGCGTGATGCAAATAGTTTTCACAGAAAATGGTAATTCATAAAAGTACTTACTTTGCCAGTCTAGCCATCACACTAGCAGATCTCTGTAAGGTACACACATCAGTAGTTGAGGGGAGGTGATGCTCTTCACGGTAGGCCTCAAATTTGGATTTGATACTGCTAAGGTTCACAGGAATATTTTCAAGGCCATGATCCGGTTTAGAATCAGCTAAAGGAGGAAATAAATATCTTATAATATCTGCTTTTTTTGTAACTTGCTCTCCCAATTCAGCACGCACGATTCTCCCCGCCCTAGCAATCACGGAAAACTGTACCAACCTTCCTTTGCTTCATTTAACCAGTCGGGTTCACTATTTTTTCTTCCTGTAGGAAAGCTCTGAAGCTGCTTATACCACTGGATATCTAGCGAAGATCCTGCTGCACATCTATCATCGAGATCTTCTATCTCCGACATCGAAAACCCGCCGGAATTCGTTACGCTAACTTCTCTCCGATTCCACACAACGACTTCTTCATCGATTTCCCCACCCTCCTGACCCTCAGCCGAACGCCCCCGCGTCAGCGTGGACTGCACCGGCATGCCCCACCTTTCACTTGGGAGAAAATAAGTGCATCTTTCACGCGGATTCTGGGAACTAGATTGATTACCGAAACATGAGGTCGACGCTCTTTTGCATTGGATTGGTGGTATTAAGCGTTATTTCACAATAACACATAAAACTCTACAATACTTAAGAATATCCAGAATATTAAACAAATAAAACATGAAAGAGTGTAATTCAATGAATCTCTTACCAATAAATTAAAAGTTTCTGTAATATAAACAGAACTTTATTATTATTATTATTTTTTTTTTTTTTTTTACAATTCTCGTTTTGAAAGAAAGTTCATTTATGCTAGAATCCACACCTAAGTTTCATACTATTCCATAAAAAAAAAATAAACTTATTTAATACTTTTTAAAGTTAAAATGGTTTCCAAGAGGCTTCTTTCATATGATGTGCTTTTTGCGAGATTCTTAACAATTACAATATAATATGAATGGTTAATGAATATATATGGTTATATATATTTCATATGAAAAATTAAGGTCAGTGCAGGGCTTAATTTCTAAAATGAAATGTGCCGGAGCCTTACGGAAGGCCGTCAGAAAAGGAAAAAATAAAACAAATAAATAAAAATACAATAAAAGAAAATAAAATTTAAAAAAAAATCAATACTTTCAGGTTTTATATAACGGGCGCTTTTGAACATTTTACGCGTTACCATTATTTATTAAATATCATATTCCTCGCACTTAAACCACATAAAATTCATTTCAACAGCAATATAAAAAATATTTAAAAACAGCATAACTTCTGAATTTTCAATACACAGTCTCTCGCGCTAGAGATAATGTTTTTTTCTCAGTGCTGCCATTGCTCTCTTTGACATCGTTGAGTACGTTAATAAAAATTTCGTTAAAGTTTCACAAAATTTCAAATACATAATAAAACAAATCGAAAATCAAAATTCAGGCTTTCAAGTGCCCATGTTCAGTTGGAGGACTACATTATTCAAAATTTCATGGCTCTGGGTGCCATTACTTTTTCACAATGAGAGAAACATCCCTGCAGATTCTTCATAAATGGCTATAATATTTGGTGGCAACAGTTTAAAAAGTGAACCAACACAGGATGTGAAAAACGTAAAATGCTATTTTAAGATTATTAGGGCTTTGGGTCTCACGCCCCTTTAGGCTAATAATGAAAATAATAAACAATTAAAAGTAAAATTCAATAACATGCAACGAGATAAACAAAAGCTTAATAAATTATTTAATTTATGATGAAAAGTTAAATAACAAAATAAAATACCAGAACCCTTTATATTTGCGGTTGCGGATGGAATTAAAATTTCATATGAAAATCTAAGCCGGGATCCGGCTGAATTTAAATTCTGAATAAACAAGTACAAAACAGCATTTGAAAGGATGACGGAGGGGGGGGGGATCTTTAAAAAAAGACCATTCATTTTTCAGCAAACCAATGAAAAAAAGGTAAAACGTTTAAAAGCGCCGCTATAGGGATAGAAAGAATGCTAGGAACAGTAACAAACTATGGAAGAACATACGACTGCTTTGTCCTTTTGTCCAAAATGATGTTTCGCCTAATCATTCCTCCCCTTGTCCCTTTCGTAAGAGCATCTTTTTACCATTTCCCCCACTGTCCTCTTAATCTCAATATGATGTGCCACCAGGGGTTAAGCAAGATAAGCTTGGTTTATTTGATTATTGAAAAGCGCTTGTGGAGGGATGCCATTCGTGGAGAACCTTCCAAGGAAACTGGCTCGTAATTACATTACATATAAATTTTTGCTTGGGCACTGGTGTGCTCTCGGGAAGAGCGAGATAAGAGTTTTGCTTTATCTGCCCTTTCAATCCTCATCTCTTTAATCTCTTAACACCTACTTTTATTTTCACATCACTAGCTTATATTGATAGCTACAATTTTTAGTGAGCTATTTTTTACATTAATTTCCATTCATGATTATTAAAATTCTTCCTTGGCTTCTTTTTCTTTAAATGTACTTTTAAATCTTAATTTGGATATTTATTTATTTACACATAATTTAAAATCATAAACAGTAATAAAATCATCTACTACTTATAAAAATTAAACAAATGTGATAACATCGTTTTCATAAATTGAACTTTCACATACATAAAACAATTCTTAATTTCTGAAATAATAATGTAGAGCCATTATTATTATTTTGAAGCAGGAAACGCAAAAATGTGCAGTGTCCTCGCAGGACTCGAACCCTGGGCTTCTCGAAAACGCGTCGAGTATGCTTCCAGTTACACCACTAAAGCAAGCGGAAAGGATCTTGGATCTAAACTTGATAAGACGTCTATAAACTTTGATGGCCTTTACCAATAAAATCACAGTAATTCCATAAGAAAGCACAAGTGAAAAGGAAGAGAATCCATTTTTTGTTTGACTAAAAATCTTTTTGTTTCTACTGCTTTTTCAGGGGTGGGGGTAGAGAGAAAGGAGAGAGTAAATACCTTATATATTCTCCCTTTTTGCTACATTTTTGGGGCAGAGAGAATAAGAAACAATGAAGAGAGTAAATACCTTATATACTCCCCCTTTTAAAAAAGCGACTGAGGATTAGGGGCAACAAATCGCCAAACCTTGGTGTTAACGAATTATCAACCGCCACCTTTTAGTTCAAGCGCCATTTGTAGTCACTAGTTTTTTTTTTTTTTTTTAAACCTCAATGAGAAAACGCGAAAAATGTACAATCCCCTCGTCAGGACCCATTGAATACGCATCGAGTATGCTCCCAATTACACCACGAAGACGTGGAAGGAGGAAGAAAATATCATATAGCAAGATATTATTTATTTCGCATCTTCTCTCTTTTTAACGTCAAACGCGATTAGGCAGAGCTTTCGGGAATGGCTATTTTAAATGCTTACTTATTGGAAAGAATGAACTACTTAAATAATGCGATGTGCGCAATTTAATCAACCATTGAATATGGTTGTCCAGGGAATAGAAAAGGAGGTAGGTAGTCTGTTGGCAAGAGGTCTGGGGAGTATGGCGGATGGGGTAATGTCTCCCAGCCCAGTCCCTGGATGATTTCCCTGGCCTCCCGAGCCACATGTGGCCTCGCATTGTAATGGAAGAGGAGTAAACCCTTACGATTGACCAATGTTAGTTCTTTATGCATCAGTGACTGATGCACCCGTTCCAACTGCTGCGAGTACAGACCTGCCATGATGGTTTGGCCCACTGGCAGAAGCTCATAGTGCACCACTTGGCGACTAGTCCATCAGACACAGAGCATGATCTTGCGTGGGTGGAGAGAAGGTTTTGCAGTGTGAGGCACAGGGTCTCGTGGGGACAACCAATGTCTGGAATGCCTGGGTGTGTCATAATGGTCCCACTTTTCATTCATCACTGGTCAGTACTCTATCAAATATGGATGCACTGCTGTGACGAGTTAGCAATGACAAACAGGCAGCACTGTTGCTTGTTTGCATCGGACAGCAAGTGGGGTATTCACTTGCTTTGCTTGTACGCCTTTCCTATGCGATGGAAATGGAGTCTGATCGTTTCATCAGATACCTGAAGGTGTGCAGCAAGCTCACTACATGTTTGACTACCATCACTCTCTATGGCTGCTCTCAAGGCCTCATCATCCAGTGCTAGTGGCCAACCGCTGTGTCGTGCATCACTAACAGACATATCCTCTGACCTGAAGTTCTGGAAACATTGCTTAGCAGTTCGTTTGTTAACGACATCATCCCTAAAGGCCGGGCTAAATCGGCGACTTGATTCTGCTAATGACAAGCCCATTTTAAAATAATACAGGAAAAAACTCCGAAAAAGCGCTTTTAACGCGTCCCTTTCAATCACTCGCTGTGCGAGTTATGTTTGAAGAACCGATGCAACGTGCTTTTATACTCTTGGTCAATGTCCGGACTCCCATCCTAACTACTTCATTTGTCAGGTTTCGCGACTATTTTTATGTTCGAGTTCACTCTTCCAATGTCATATCAGAAACTGCAAGAACTTTTTTGGTTACCTTGTATTTCGTTATCCCGAAAGTTTGCATGGTAAAACGTTTTCTGTTCAGGCTATGTTAAGAAATAACACTGGTGCCCATTAAAAAAGCAACACCAAGAAGGAAAGCAAACACAAAAAAGACATTTAATGTACTTAAACAGTATAGCATGAGGATAAGCAGTTTGGGGGGTTTACATGGAGAATTATTAGAAACAGCTGCCATTCCTGGCAGCTAAAACAGCCATTACCGGTTTGGCATGAAGTCGAACTTGGCTTGGGTGACAGAAACGGGCAATTCATTCCATGTTGCTTCAAGTCTATGACACACTTCATCAACCGTACTAGCTGTAGAGGGGTGGAGGACAAATCTCTCAGCAACCCACGACCAGATGTTTTCAATGGGAGACCAGGCCAAGGAATCAATCGAATACTCTGTGTATCGAAGAAGGTCAGAACACGACGTGCACATGTAGTCTTACATTATCTTGTTGGGAAATGGCGTTTGGCAGACCTCGAAGATGGGGCACAACCACTGGACTTGAGATGTCAAAAATGTACCGATCTGCGTTCAAATTACCGTCGATCCGAACCAGAGATGCGAGTGTCATGTATCCAGTGGCTGCTCAAACCATCACACCAGGTGCAGGGT